ATTCTGTCTGGACTATCCAGGATTCTACATTTCACCACGATGTTGACAATATTTCCCCAGCTGGAAATATGCACCGTTTTTGTTCCCCTCATTGTTTTTCCATTAGGTCGCCTGGCAATTCCCTACCGACTCTCACATCCTCTACACACTATCATGTGTCCCTGACGAGTGTTACTAATAAAAGCAGGTCCGTTGTCAACAGAAGATGCAAAGCGACAGGTTTCTCCATGTGTTTACAGCTGACACAGTTCAGTAGTAGACTACTTCTCTCCATCCATCCATCGGACAGATGGAAGATGATTTTGGCCCCTCACAGCATTTTAAAATGTTACTAGCTATGCTGGATTATGTCTTGAGTACTGGACCAAGTAGTGGCATAACAGGACAAAACAGGAACTCTTTGAATTCACAAGTAATATCTGCTAATACACACACACTGCATCTCCTTTGTGTAGTTTGTCATCTGCAAAAGGACATGTCTCTTCTTTCAAAGTGAAAGAGCAAATGTTTTTCAGGCCACACAGTACACATGGGTTTCATTAAGTCACCATTGAAGCACCTGCTCACTAAACATAGCATGTATATTAAAAAAATTATCTTTCAGGTCTGAAACGTGACGCCAAACGTGGTGGCTTCTTTGGTTACACTGTTGCCTGAGACCTTAGTGCACTTTCCTGATAAATTTAAGGTCGTTTCCTGTTACGTAAAACACCATGAAATTAATTTAGTACATTTTGGTCCTTTTAGAATCAGAAAGAGGGCTAAGATGACTGTCGGGTGGCCCTGTGTTATGGCTGAGAATTTAGCACCATATGTGTCTGCAGTATTTCTTGGTTTCATTCTCTGCATATCAGTGTGGTGGCCGTAAAAATGTTCAGCTTCATGCTCAATGCAACTTTCCAGCATTCATTCATTACACAGGTCAGCAGGTAATAATCATCACAGGTACTTCTCTGTTAGTTATTTTCACAATGATTTCAAACCTGTACTTAGTTTTTCTCTAGGACATCTTGTTCTTCTGATGAACTTTTTTATACATTTTGTGTTTGTTGACCACTATTTTTGGACCAGAAGTCAAAGCGTACAGCACAAAAGGAAATGAAGACTTATTGGTAAAAGCGGTCTGCTGTTTGCATGGTTATGTAAGAACGATGGTTTTCGACTATGTCTGTAAGCAACCAAGCTTTAAGCTTGAAAAGCATTCAAGTGGCTCTGTGAAAACGTAATCACCTGCATACCGGGAAGTAAACAGAAAATGGGCTGTTGCATGTCACTGAAAACCCATTTCCATTCATATTTGAAAAGTCAGTGCATGGTGAGTAACAAAGGAGAGCGTTTCCAACATGATATTCAGCTAACAGAGGGTTGCTACCGGGGTTTCTGGGATGAAACTATTGCTGAATGCTTTACTGTGACAATCCAGATCTAACATTGTACAAAATAAAATCATACTCCACTTCTTTCTCGACATGACTGGAAAATAATAAAGTCACATGTAAAATCTGCACCAAAACAAATGTAGGAAAGTGTGTTTAGGTCACTTGCAAAAACTTTTTTATGTTGCTTTGTGTTATGTGCTGTGCTTTGAAAAGCACCAACAAGGCACTGCATTCTGTTGCTTTTCAGAGCTTATGAGACATATGCCTGTGTTTTATTTAGCAGACTTCAGTCACTTGGCAACAGCATCAAATGTACATGGAACAAGCAAGGCTAAAAAATGAAGCCATCAGGAGTTGCTACAAATTGTAGTTCCTCTAACGAACACTTGAAGCTAATTCCAAAAGAATGTTAATGTCAATAGAATGTTACATAGTAACTTTACAGCATTAAATGGTGTGTGCACAGCTTGGTGCAGAAAATAGATTCAAACCCTGGGGATAGTTTCCCCCTTCCTTGCTACTATATGGTGGATGAAAGTATATTTTAACATTCATCCACACATCCACGTCCACATCTGGCTGCTTGACTGACAGCATCCCAACAGGCAGCAAATCAATGTGTACTAGGCCTCGCCTTCTCTACCAGAAGAGAAAAAAAGTCAAAATTTTGATATTAACCCTCTCAGGCTCAAATTAAGTTTTTGTTGCTAATGCACAAAAGGATACCTGCAGTGGTACTTCTGAGTAAAAAAAACTCATAAAATATGTATGTGGGGTAATCAGGTTGTTAGCTTTTAACTGTTGCAAATCTGCAACGCTTGCCTGGAGAGGGTTAAAGTTGAAAATCTATTTTGAGAAAAAAAGTGTGTAAAAAATGAAAAATGTGTAAAAATGTGGAGATTACAGTTGTTGTTTCAAGACAAACTGCTACGGTTGCTACACTTTCTGAGCTGTTGAAATCATTCTTCAGAATCAGTTTCAGCAACGAGAAAGCATGTAAACATATTGTGGTGATGAGTATAGGAGTATATAAATGGTTACATCGTCGTGCAGTAAAGTGGATTTATGTTGTATCACAAGACAGATCCGAGACGACAATCTACACATTTTTAAGAGTCACAAAACAGACAGAAACACAAGACAATAAATATACTTTGTATATGAAGCACCCCTCGTAAAATCAGCAATAAGAAGTTCATTCTCTGTGGGTGGAAACGGTGGTCTCGGGCTCATGTGGTCTGATGAAACTGCAGATTGCAAAAAAGTAAAAGAGTTCACATTAGTTTCTGTTGCAACTGCTTTTTCATTGCATGTGAAAAGCTGCATGCTGCAGAGGCACAAACGTTACTTTGGTCGAGTTTTTAAATGTGTTTTAATGAAGAACTCTATTAGAATGTAAACAGAAGGAAGATTTGATTAATTATTTATCAGTTATATGACAGCAGTCTTATATTTGTGTAGATCCATTCACTGAAAAATCTAAAGAGAACTGAAACAAAAAAAAGACTGATTTGACTGACGGGCATCCCAACAGGCAGCTGTAGTCAATCAGTCTTTCACAGAAGGAGACTCTTAACGGTGCTGGTGCAATGTTAAAAAGAATGTTTACCTTTAACCACAGTGAAGTATGACGGACATATTGAGGGAAACAAAGTTATTATTGGTCATTTTGACAATAAACTGAAACTGTGTAACAAAAAAAGTGTGAAAAACAAAAAAAAAATGTGGAGATTAGAGTTGTTGTTTCATGACACTTCACGGCTGCTACACCCTCTGAGTATTTCATAATTACTTTGACTAACAAGGAAGGAAATGATGTGTCTTTTAGCACTTAAACATATTGTGGTGATCAGTATAAGGATGGTGAGAAGATGGTGCAAAAAGCTGCATCTGGTCAGACGGAAAAACATGAAATCATGAAAAGATGCGAGGATGTTGATGGTTATGCCCTCGAGCAGTAACCAGAATCTGTGTTGTAATACTTTGTTTCACGTTTCATGTCATCTAGACGAGGCACATTTAAGGAAATTGTTACTTTGAGTCCTGACATAGCTGACAGGAAAAAAAGCTGCTGTCAGTAGTTGTCACTGTAGAGCTCCGCCCCTAACAACTCTACATGCTGACACTCCTCAAGAGAAGCAGTCATTGTGTTACTGGATACAAATTACTGAGGATAACTTCAGCTCTGGTAAGATCTTTAAAAAACAATTGCAATTA